CTACTACTACTACTACTACTGCGATTACCACCACTACTCCATTACAACTACCACTACAACCACTACTATCACACTCCCACCACCACGACCTCTCCGACGACGACTGGTAGCGCTACTGCCACTGCACCTACAAATTACCAGAACAGGAGTGCAGCATCATGACCGTCGACGTGCAAAGCATGACAGGCGAAAACCTAGGTCTCTTGCAGAGGAGCGAGATGAAGAAATCCACTGTTGTCCTTGAAAGCGCCTCCAGTGCGTCGTGCCATACCAAGCGAATGCCGGTGTTGAGAGCAACATGACGGGTCCACGTCCAAAGGGCTGGTCTTTGTAACCGGGACATAACGGTATAACCAAACTTGTGTCAGACTCTTGTCAATTCCGTGCAGCTTGTCGCATCGGAGCCCAGGACCCAGTGACGGATGCATTTGGGGGGAGACAAGATCCCACGAGAACACAGGCAGCTGTCCGCAGGATGCGCCCAAAGCACCGCCTTCTGCAATCCGATTATTCCGCCGATCTGAGCAGAGTTGGGCCCAGAAATGGGCGCACAAGACTTGGAAGCAAACTCCACCAAATGCAGCATGGTCCGCGAACAGCACTGTCGATACATTCCGGGAACCCTGTTGTCAAACGCTAAACCCTACCTACGTGAACCCTAAACCCACCACTGAAGTTATCTCTTGTCAAGAGATTGCATCCCTGCTGCCATCGGGTGCTTTGGGTTATCGTGTGAAACCAGTGAGCAGATTGCACTGATGGGCTTTTTGATGCCCCGTCAAATTCAGGTCACATGAATCATGTTGTGTTCAAAATTGTTCACACGCTTCAAGCAAAAAATGAACCGCGCTGATCAGATTAGACATGGCAGCCATGGCAATCCTTTTCATTACATGAACCAAAACCTTCGCCTCACCTGTCAGTAAGCTCATAGTTCTCGCAGCCCTTCCCAGCTTGAAACGCAGCCCCATTGGTGCAATCTGTCACTTCCTGGAGCCGAACTTCTACTGCTGGCTCCAGAGATGACGGAGCTTCACAGGAAGAAGGTCAGATGTCTACACACCTTCCGTGGCGATCGTATTTTGATCACCCGATATTTCATCGAGCTCAGCCAACCGCTTGCCGAGATGGAGCGTGTCAGAAACATGTTCGGCGTCGAATGCAGTGTACAGGCCTTCGTAGTGGCATTTTACCAATGGACTGGGCAAACACTGCAACACTGGAAGCCTTTGCATCGGCAAACCGAGGGCTGTGCAAAGTGCAAGCAGCGTCTAGGTTGCAACAGATCGCCGCAGAAAACTGTTGCCAAAGGCAGGTAATGTACACGGCTGCAGCCTGCCAACATGCAGTGGACGGGAACTCAGTTCCACTATTCCATCTGCTGCCAGGAACCGTTGCACGGTATCGTTCTCGACTCGACACAGTTATAATCTTCACTGGAGTAAGGATCGAACTGGTACAAGCTGATACAGAGTGCTCCCAGGGACTGCATGCAGCTGCAAGACTAAGACTTTTCGAGATCGCCACTGCGAATGCTTCGAGTACCATCGCTACCTAGAGACCCAGATTAATACATTTAAAGCTTTGACGGTGAAGCCAGCATGGAATCACACCAAAAGCAGACAACACTGGTGGGGACTGACAGGTGTGCGGGTGAAGAAGGCATATTGGTGTATCGGAGAACACGCCTGCCCCTTAGCAGTCAACTCGGCCACGATGCTCCGATGCAATAAACGGCCCGTGGTGGCTGTCTGAGGCGCCACGGAGCTTAGGCTTCTGAAGAGCTTGCCACAACTAGGCGCAGTGTGAGCATCTGCAAGACTTCCATGAGCTGGGGCTTGCTTCCCAAGCTCCATGCCCTCCGACAGGACATCACCATGATTGCATTCACGCATCTCTCGTGCAACAAGCTCTCTGCTGCAGTCACCATTAATCATTGTCTGCGTTTCTACATCATGCCCCGCTGTGATGGCACGTTGCAAGGGGAGCCTGCTCCGACAAGAGCACGCGAAACCAACGTGTCACAGAGCTGCCCTCCAACTGTCGGGAGTACGCCCGAGGGAGGAGAGAACCTTTACTCTCTTAGACTATACAACGACAACTCTGGTCTAATGCTGGCTGTCGTCCAGCCAGCCCACTAGACTGCATTATGAAGAAGCCTCTGTGCCAGGTGGATGTGGCCAGTCATTGTCTGCAGCTTCTGCTGCCCAGCCATGGAATAGCGAACGACGAAGACAAAGCCTTCCGAAACGGCGAAGATATGGCTGGGAAGCTGGAAGTCTACAACGGCAAAAGTAGCTGTCGATCACGCTCAATGGCGGACAGCTCTCACAGTCGACACTGGCATCGTCGTGGCGGGCCTGTCAGCTCTTCAGAAGCGTCTATGTGCGGTGGAGCCTCAACTGTGACAGGTGCAGCCACGTAAGCTGTTGTGGGGTCACAGAACAGTAGACGCCGAATGCCCTGCACCTGCTGATCTGCGTGAAGCTATGGAATGCCACTGCCTCGTCGAAGCGAGCACACAACAAACCAAGGCTTTTTGCTCTCAGCCAGACACCAAACAAAGCATGTGTACCATCTGCAGCTACAAATTTGAAGTGACCTCAGGATCAGACAGGAGCGCGATAACCTTGAGCACCCGAGGCTCCGTGAGGTGCAGCGTGAACGTGTCCTCCCAGTATCTGGAAAATTGCTGCAGCTCAGCACTTCGACCCTTCCCGCCTGGTGGTAGAACCTGACTGCGCACGGGAGCCTTGGGCTTGCAAGAGCTGGGTATTTCGGCCCATTCAGACGAACCAAGACTTGTTATGGACTTTGTCGCTGCCTACTGACTTTACTAACCGCGACGACGAGGAGGACGACGACGACGACTATTGCTATTACTGCTTCTACTGAAACTGCTACGGTGCCGCCGCCGATGACGACGACGACGACGCCGACGACGACGACGACTACTACTACTACGACTACTGCTATCACTACTAGTACTACTACTACTACTAGTACTACAACTACTACTACTACTACTACTACTACTACTACTACTACTACTACAAATACTACTACTACTACTACTACTACTACTACTACTACTACTACTACTCCTGCTGCTGCTGCTACT